TGCAGTTTCAAACTTTCACATCGAATTTGTATATCATTTTTGGTGTGATATGTACAGGTGAAATATTTACTAACAATTGTTTTATTCAAATTGAGATTCAATTGCAGTAACGTTTAAATTCAAAAATATCAATTTTGGTTGTGTACAAACTCATGAATATAAAAAATGATTTACAGTATTCTAACACTGGGTTTATAAACTATAGATTCAGGTTGAAATTGAGATAGTCGTCAGTCAGCACTTGTTAATGCTGACTAACTCATTCATATATTTTTAGTTGGAGTTTCGAAACTACAATGGATTAATCCACACAAAACCAAATTGAATATAGTATATAGATTTTCAATAAAAGAAGCAAGTGAACATGTACTTTTGTATTGATATGTAGTAGGTTTTTATTGGCATTGAAACAAAAATAGCTATAAATGCAAGTAGCCCATTCTAACAGCCTACTTCTGAAGAATAAAAACTCTTTTGGCAGAAGAAACCTATACACCGATTCAAAATACATATTGTAAATATGACTAGACAGTTACATAATATAGTAATGGTGCAGTAATTTCACATAAACCTAATGCATAACAGTTTTTTTTTAAATTCATAAGTGAACCCCATTTTCAACTTTTAGTGCTAACATGAATCTAAAGTTTATAAATCCAGTGTATAAGTATATTCATGCACCAGACTCAAGAGTGGATTCATAGATTGGTCTCAAGTTGTCTGTTACAAGTCTTAAGAATTAACAATTTTCATCAAGTACTTCACTAATAACGACTTATAATTCATGTACATGAATACTTCCACTAAAAATCAATAATCAACTGCTTACAATTTCTTGCAATCTACAACTTATGCATCAAGTCTAGATGCATTAATCCATCCCAAGTCATAAGTAATTGATTTCAATGCAAGAGTTCATGTACGAGTCATAAGCTTTAAATCATAACAAATGTTAACCAACGTAAAATATGCAACTTCTTACTCGAAACTGGTGCATGAATCAACCCTTAATTCTCTAACTGATATCAAATATTACCTGAGGTGGTGGCAGTAGAAGACAGTGCAACATCCTTGGTTACGTCTTCATTTCTAATGTTGATCAACTCATTTTGCTCATGACAGCTACAATCAGGGTAAAACTCTTTGGAGTTTTCTAAAATAATAAAATTTTTGCCACACACTTCACAATGTCCCGCTGGCTCTAGTATTTTATCTTCAGTTTTTATAAATTCATAATGTATATCAATGGAATCTTCACTTTTGATTAGTTCCTCCTTAGGTATTTTCACTTCAGTCACATTATATTTCTCCTCTGTCTCCTGTTTGTAGCCCTCAGAATCATTTTTATAAACCATGTAGTCCTGTTCAGTAGCATCATTTTCATTATCATGAATTTCATTTCGGCTGAACATTTCAAGGTTCGGCTCCAGTTTTACTGTAGTCTTTTCAAAAACCATTTCCTCTGGAATGAAGAGATCCGGCTCCTTTTTAATTGTTGTTTCACATTCCATAGCCATTATCGAGTTTACAGAATTATTAATAATATTCAAAATTTAATTGTAATAAAATATTTTGCTTAATTGACACAAGTCTATATTCTGGTTCAATTGTTTGATAATCACGTAGAATTATTATTGAAAAAATTGGTACACAAATCGGGATACCACCAGATAGAGAAAAGGTAACAAATATGGTGACTGAAAACAGTGTTGCTCTGACACAATTTCAAATGGTACTATTACCAAATTCAAAATTGTACAAATCGGGGGTAGTCTCTAACGGAGTTACACACAAAAAAAAACAACATAAATTTGATACCCTATAGAAATACTTTATATAGCAGCACAACGTTCGCTAGGTCAGGTAATAAACTCATATTTTAATGAATTCTGTTGTTTATGTTAATTTAATTTACATTAATAGTCTTTTGGATCATTAAGATAATGCATTTCACATTTTCATTCTATCCCATTATCAATAAGAGAAGAAGCGGAAAATCCTCAGAATCATGAAAAGCATAGATCTGAAAAGACGTGACAGCTCTTATAATCTCTTTCTTCAATGTTCTATCTTTAGTGGCCATAACTACCTGGAAAAGCCAATAAAGAAGAGAGAGAGAACTACCTGGAATGATCATAGAAATTATTATAGAATATCTATGGGAATGATCAGTGTTCTGAATTTTTTCATCGATCAAACTTGAAATTGTACGTTTCATGATATTTTCCGAAAGAAGTGCAATACGTACGACATAGCATAAAATACTATCTCATATTGTACAAATATACTGATGGAGCAACCCTGAGTGGAAAATACAAGCTTTTCCTGTCAGATTGAATTCTTACAGATCCGTCATCCAACGTCCGAATGAGAGCTATCATCGGCGTGGCCGTCAGAGAGCGCTGGAGGGCGAAAGGTCAAGACAGTTCAACATTTAAACAGCTATTTAAGTGCCTGAGACATGGATGTTTGGTTATGGCTTATTTTATAAATTTTGAGTTCGATTCATGAGATTCCAGCAAATAAATTAGGTATCGATAACATGTCCCACAGGTGCTTTGGACAATTTTGATCCGTGAGTAGCTCCGATCACGAATTTCAAATGGTTTATCGGGTACAAAATAAAATTATTCTTAATGATTAAGAGTTGGCAAGGGAATTTACAGAATAGGTACAGGTAGTATATAAGGTAACTCATAATATGGTTGTGAATAAACAACAAGAAATAAATGATATGATAAAAGGGATACTAAACAAATATATCACATATGGAATTTTCGAAAATATACACAGAGCTGATACAGCTAATACAATACTCATCCTGCCTACGCCTTCAAAAATGGACAAAATTCAAGTTTATACGCAAAACTCCAAAGTCGGTGGGATCAGATTTTTTACATTTTTTGAGTAGATCTCTACTTCAAGATTTTTGTGTTTTTTTTAATTTGAGAATCATTTTTTCATAATGAATTTTGATACTATTACTGTGATCATTTGTCTTTGAGAATTATTCAATCATTCTGTGTTGTCGATTTTACATCTTCAATCTATTTTCTATATCCCTGAGTTATAAAAGTGTTCCACCCCAAACATATTTGAACAAAAACCCGATCTCAGATCAGTTATTCCCGCCAGGCGTCTGCCGGTGTTACTTCTCCTTCTCACTCAGTGAACACCGGAGAGTAGGGATAAGAAAGAAGCCGGTCTTATGTCACAATAAGCCTTCCCTCACTCTGTATACAGTTTTCGCCCACTATTAGGTATGTTTATCCGTCTAGTATAGATACAGTTTGCGATGTCACCGAAGTTATAAATTATCCAACGGTGTTTTTGAACTCATTGGACTTGCCAGACATGCCACCGCATAATTTATAACTGAAGGTTGTATCGCTTCGTGATTTGGATCCACCACGGTTGTGCAATGAAACATTTCAAAGATTAATGAAAAATGTTGTCGAAGCCAGCATTTTTAATCGTAAGTTCCGTAGTAGAAATATATTAATACCACGAATCCCTATTATACCTACAGATGTTCTGTTGTCCGTTTGTCCAAGAAGGCTCCGGGAAAGTGTAGTGCTGCAAAGGTTGACCGAAGAAGTTGAAGACCGAAATATTCTGCCTGATGAACAACTCGGCTTCAGGAGGGCACACTCCACCGAGCTGAAGGCCCTGAGACTGGTCGAAAATTCCATCTCAGAGCTAAACAATAGGAAGACAGTCCATCTCGTCCTCCTGGCTTTTCGAAAGCCTTTGACAGAGTATGGTATGAAGGTCTACTACACAAAATGCTCGATTTCGACCTGCCTCGGGGCCTGATTCGGTGGATTATGTCCTTTCTGAAAGGCAGAACATTTCAGGTCCGAGTTGAAGGAACCCTGTGTCCCGTCAGGGAAATCCAAGCTGGAGTGCCTCAAGGAGCTGTGCTGTCTCCACTATTGTACACCCTTCACGTGATCGAACCTCGGAAGGTCGCTCACGTGAAGGTTTCTCTTTACGCCGATGATACGGCTTTCCTAGCGTCTTTCATGGATCGAGGGTTGGCGGTCGTCTACATGCAACGCCCCAGCAAACACACTTGTTACATCTACGTAAATATGACATAAAATTAACGGAACATGTTCATGTAATACATTTATGTAAATACTTCATTACTTTTCTAAGATACTTTTACCCCGTATTTACATAAATAATTTAAGTAAATATGTCGTAGCTAATATGTAAAAACTTACGTATTTTTGACAGATGAGAATCTCTCTAGTTTTTGAGTTATATGTTGGTCTGTGTGAAGTTTTATGGAAGAGGTTAGAGTCTAGAGTTCTTGAGACATTCTTATCACGTGATACGTTGAGATTTGTGTTTTTGTTGATGAGTATTTTTTACAAAAAAAGAACTATGGAGGCAGAGTTTGGTCAGGAAGTTTTGTTTTTTGAAGAATGTTTTTTCCAGTTAATGATTCCAAGTTTTGCTGCGAGCGGGTGTTATATTTGTTAATATTTACTCACTGAAATTATATAAAATATATGTAAAATAATGACATTAATGTTACGTAAAAATCAGGTTGNACAATGAATTTGGCTTCCAAGTCAATATCTTCTACTTGAATCGGCAAAAGTCTCATTTGCGAGTTGAATAGTTAATGTTTCTAGTGGAAACTCTGATGGTCGATAATATTAACGATAGTGGAAGAATCTTCAAACGAACAGTGAAAATAATTTCAGAGAGAATAAGTATTCCATTGAAATATTTCTTCAGTTTGTTAAAATAGATGGTCACCATTAATTTCCTGATAACTTATTTCTTACATAATGGAATATTATTCTAGGCGATTCCGTTTCAAACCAGTCTAGTTCTTCTATCCACGAGCTCTGGAATTGATTCTGGTCATGTGAGGTAGGTACATTTGAAATGTCTGGTATCTCTATATTAACAGTCAAGGGCGTCATATCAGGTGACCAAGCGGGCCATTCTGAGAGACCATGCCAGTATAAGGGACCAAGCCATTCCATGCACCGGTTTAAGTAATTGTCATTTGACCACTTTCGTTTTTTCACCAAAAAGCACCAAAAATGATGACTAGGTGAATTTTGTCCGAACTTGATATCTAGTTCCGTTCAAAAATTAAAAGGGGGAGTGTTTTTGAGCCATATTTTTATCTTAAACCGTTACTTAGAGTTTCCACAAGTAGATTTCACAAATGATTTTTGATACATGCAATTTCCAATCTATCATTCAATCGGAAGTAATCGAGTTTGATATTAAATTTACTAGGAGAAACAAATGTGAACATTTCTAAAATGTTCAACTTAAATTTAGCTATACAGAGACATGAGCGATGGCAAGTTTTATCTTTCTAATAAGAAGCCTATACACTGGTGTTAGTTCAGAAAATATTGTAGATGTAGTTGTTCAGAAGTTGCCAGAAGATGACACCCTCAGCTAATTCAGTCCCTAATGACGTGTTATCTATAATAATACTTTTTCTCTTTTTCTTAGAAATTAATATGTGTGATTATGAGTGTTTTTGGGCTCCCAAGAAGTGTCAACTTTTTTAATCTTCCTGGTCTGAATAGTGCAAGAATCCGTCCTCAATCCAGCATTCAACTGGCGTAGACGTCTATCAACTAATGTCTTGATGTGATTTTGAAACTAATGAACTTTTAACTGGAATACCTACACCTTCACAATACATTAAAATAGTTTCTCAGTAGCATATGAGCTTTCAAACAAATAATTTTAGCAAGCTCTTGGTGAAGGCTTAGTACTCGGGCGACATTTTTCCGAAAGTCGTTGCAAGGCTATTGCTGTTGATACTTAGGTCCTGCCGAAGGGACGGTATCTGACGTTGATACGGGAAAGCATCAAGTCTACACTTAGGGAAATGAATCATTACACATGCGTCATCAATACCTAATGCCACACATGCCACATTTTTATATAGCACCTTCTTTTTCCACGAAGACGAAACAAATTTAATCAGCGAGAATTTTTGTTTAGAGAGATACCTACCTATAAAAAACGTGAGCCGAAGATCAAAGTCAGTATTTGATGACGTTTTACTATCGTTCGACAGATTAACGTTGAGTTTTCACGGTTTGAAGTCTTTCAGTGAAGGTCAACATAGAAAGGGCGTCGGACGAAGACGAGGAGCATACGTGGCACGGACGTTTCTTTCGTGTGTCAACTATATTAACAAATGACCCAATGCCATGTCGCTTTTGTATGCATCGGCGCTCATACTACTCACATACTCATTTTTACAACTTATAAACTGCGACCATTTTGTAGTCATATCATAATTATACATATTAACCACAAACTGGGAATGACTCAGTCTAACTGCCACACATTGATATATTTGGATTGCTAGGATTGGAGTTGGAACATGTAATATGACGTGAAATATTTTTTCCTGATTCCTAATAAAGTGCTAACGAATTTAATGAAAATCCCATAATGGGGAATGTTCCTCCTGACGAAAATCAAGTAGTTTTCATAAAAGAGATCTAAAACAACGCATTTTAAACTTATCATTTCAACCTTTATTTAAATACTTGAAAAAGAGAAATGAAATAATGCATTTAACATTTAAAGGGATTCGTTTCTATTTCACCATCTGACAACATCGGTTATAGCTAATAAAGGACAATGAATCTGTTACCTGTATGAGACAAACAAAGACGACATATTTCAGAGGCGTGTGGTTCTGTTTACTTATGTTCCCAGTTCCGAGACATTCTGTGACATACGACATTTTATGCACCTAGCCTATCTTCCTCTATATAAATAAATAACAAAACAAGTGTCGTTTGTGTGGCTTGTGGAGGTGGTATTGAAGTATAATTCATATTTTGCCTTAATTCTTGATTTATAAAGATAATTTTCCTTTTTTAAAGTAGAATATCTAGGTACGTATGAATTATTCCAACTTGATATAGAGTCATTTCGTCTTTAACACTTGGTCGACCTATTTCGAATGCAAAACTTGATTGACGCATGTGTAAAGATCATTGACCATACTGTAAATGAAATCGAGTAGATTATATTGGTCGTATGATTCATATAAAAATTCTACACGTACGCGGTGCTTCACCAGTGTATACGCATTTTACTTTCTATCATTTCTGCAAATTGTCATTTATTCCTAAACAACCAAACTTAAACAGCGCTCTCGTTAGGCGGCTGTTGCGTCGCCCTAACCACAACATCCGAGGGATACACGTACTTCTTCCTCCGCACGAAACTTGGACTAGGCGTCCTCTCACTAACACTGTTACTCAAACCACTGAGCAGGGGCAGAGCTTCTGTCCTAGCAAAGCACTCCTCACCATCCTCACTGCGCCTCTTCTGGGACAGAATCGTCTTGATAGGAACACTAGAACTACTCGTGCTCATTACCGGAAGCGGTGGCTCCACTTTTTGTTTGTTTGTTTTACTGCGAAATAAATGGCGCCACCTGGGGGGCGAGAACCGAGGCTCACACGGGTAGGGATCGACGGCTATCACTTGAGGGTTGAACGTGACGTTTTTCGTTATGTCCGATGGGGTGCGGCACATGCTGCCCGAGTCAACGCTGCTCGAAGGCTGGCTCTGAGTGCTGCTCGCCGGTTTGTGGAAGTGGATAGCGCGGTGGTGTTCTTCGAGGTTGAGATCTATAGCGAGATTTGAGATGAGGTCTTGGTCTATATCGTGGGGTGAGCAGGGTGACATGGCCTGAAAAAAAACATTGATTGAAATCTCGGTATGAGCTATTGACCCCACGTTGGGCGCCACTTTCTGAAATGAATATACATGATATTCGTAAATATCAGGTAAATATTCATGGGAACGGTTTTATGATTCTGGGAAAAATTCTCATTATTCTGTATCTTCAGAAGTTTCGATTATGATACAAAAAAATTTCTATACGCTTCGTGAATTTTTGAAGCTATCAAGTTCAAGATAAGTTTTTATTGTCGATATACATGAAACCACCATAAAAACTTGTTTTTTCTCTAAGGCGTTACTTTTTTTGGCCCTGACCCTTTCAACCCTAATAATTTTTTTACGTTGTTGGTCACTAACCAAAATATTTGGATGAGCTACCCATAACAAGAAAATTGTAAAGAAATAAAACGAAATGAACAATGAGTAAGTTCAAAATTAAAAATATGAGAATGCTAATTTGAAAAGGAAAATCATTATGTCCTTAAATGAAATAATTAATCTGAACATGGAATTTAAATAATATGGAAACGGAAAATATTGAAAAGAAATTATTTCACGACTTTTGAATGTTAGTATCCACAATATTCCACAATCTCAAGTGATAACAAGTCTATTTCTGATACTCTGAGATATGGTACAGACCACCTGAGTACTTTCCGCTCAATCTCATCTATCCGTTTTTCAATTCAGCGCACTGTAGGCGGCTTCTTCATACTCTTCTTGAAACCAGTGTTTCTGGTTTCAAGAAGAGTGATTCAGTGATTCAGTGATTTTGGCTCCAGACCACTTTATATTATGTTACTGAGTCCAACTTTACTTCGTTATTCCCGACTTGCTGATTTCTTCTCGCGAGTCTCTTTCTTTTTTTTGCTTTTCAATACAGACTTTTCATAGTCTCTTGGTTTCACCGATACAGGACGTGTCACTGTCCGTGTTTGGTGGTTTCTCTAAAACCAACCATTGGTAAATGGAATATCTCTCACGCTGTTGTGGTACTGCAAAGGGGTGTCAGTTCTGTGTAATTATTGTTTCATACTATATGAAGATGTCAATGTATCTCAACTAGACTCGTGACTTCTTGTGAGTTTCTTCAAGAGTCAACCTTTCAAGCCATTCCATAAATATGTTGGCTATAACCGGGAAAGAGGCAATCCGTCGTCTTTCATAAAGAATTCCTTACTCAGTCGGAATTAGCAGTTCCTAGTAATTCCATTATCTGGACAAGCTGCGGGAGACTGAATCTCTGAAAAAGATGATCGGTAGTCCTTTTCCGAGAAGAAGAGTTGAGTTAAATACCTAGTATCTAGTATCGATACAGTGGGATCTTCGTATTTTACCCTTTCTGAAAAACACCTTAAATCTTCTGCTCATAACTATAGGTATTCATCACAACGATGTATGCAGATAACATCTTGATGTTATTTGCATACATCGCTGCTGATTCTTTTAAATTTGGTCAGAGGTCGGCGCAAAGGTGAAGTTCAACTTTTTTCTAAGCAATGATTCCTCTATATTCGTGAGCGGGCGGGAACTCATATTGATGACGTTGGGGTTTTGTGGTTGTTGTATTTACGGTCTTCAATTGAGCAATATTTCCGCATCAACTTTCCCTACAGGAAAGGTATTCTTCATGTTTTGGCGAATCTTTGCGTACGTATTTTCGATTGATCCGTAATCCTCTTTCAAGGTGTATCTCTTGAACAGTTCAGTGGCATCCTTCAGAAGGGTAGATCTTCTCCAATGGTAGTGGCTTCTTTCAATATAGATGAATAAAAAATCAAGTACTTGGGTAACGTCTTTCAGTGAATTTATGTGGGATGCTGAAGTTAGTCACTTTTAACGAACACGGTGAAGAGATAACGATGTAACTACAAAATTGACATTTTCACATGGGATCCAGTGTCTCACATTCGCAAACGGAATGAAAAATCTGCTCCATTTTTGCATTGTCAACAGCCCGAGCCTCCGTTATGATCCCTATTTCATTAAGACGATGTTGAGGTGAGTCGTTATGTCACAAAAGATAACAAAACTGTTATGTCACAAAACAGATCTTTATGACATTCTTAGACCAGTCTCGATAACACTCTTGGGTTTATTGATGCTCTGAGGGTAGTCTGGTTGTCTCTGCATTGCATGATACCATATACTTTCCTGAAAGTGCATTTATCTAGCCGATAGATGTGAAGTAAATTACTACATGCAGATACAGTATATTTCAGCTTCCGTGTTTTCACATTTGAAAAAAAAAAAGAAGAAGAAGATAGATGGTCCCCAAAAAGAAAAAAAAAACTATCGAATTGCGACATACTTTTGGACAAACTGTGGTGGTTGTTACTCCAAAGTATCCCACAGTAGGACTCTCCGATGTCTGCTCCTGGAGCAAATCGAAATGTGTCTCCAAAAAGTTTGACTCCGAGTTGAAATATTCCTTGCATCCAGCACTAGCCAGCACGTTGTCCAGAATGTCTTCAGCTGATTGAAATTCACTATCACTTGGTTCACATTCCCTGAAAAACAATCACTTTTGAAGGACAGGAAATTTCGAAACAGTAAATGTATAACATCGATAAAAAAAGAAGGCGATTAAGCAACTTGATGGCTAGAAGGAGAAATAGGTTCCTTTCCAGACTCAATAAAAAAATGACAGCTTTCTATTGAAGCAATGAAACTCACCCACACTCTCCCGTTCTTGAATAACTCCCGATATTACTGTTTCCGCCACAACACCTGCTGCTACTAGAAGCTGATTCGTAGCTGAGATTGCTGCTGGAGGAACTCTCCGTATTGTTGTTGGTGAATAGACTAGTGAATATTTTCGCTTTCTGAAAGTTTCGTACGTTCCTTATATCATCAGCGCAGGTGCTGAGGTTACCGATGATCTTTGGTGTTCTACGCATAATCTAAAAATGCAATATAAGACATGTTTATTAAAAATCTAGTACTATCAGAAATGCAATAGGTGAAAATAGAATCGAATGAAACATAAATCATTGTATACAGTGATGAAATTTGGGTGGAAAGTGTCAATTATCTAGTTATTGATACCCAAAAATGGCCAAAGGATATTGATTACGAGGGAGCTCAAATGGGTGGAATTCGGTACATTGGATGATATTGATGAAAACTTCATTTTGGAACTGAATGATTTATGGTTATATTTGTGATGTCTGAAAGTACTTTTTCTACAGATGCTATACAATGTGTCTCACCTCTCATCGCTTTCATATCTGGTCAAAAATTGAAGAGATAAGCTGGCATGAAGCTGAGTTTGATGTGTTTACAGTCCTACCTGATGTTACATTGTGAAATTATCACAAACCACACCAATCCAATGGAGGGAATAGGTGTGGCTAGATGTCATAGTGACAACAAAATTATTTCAATGAAAGAACTGTTAAGAACGAGCATAAGCTCGTGAAAAATAATATAATTGTATGAAAGGAAAGTACCGTATTTTCGGATAGATGAACTCGCATATTTATGAAAGAAAAATTTTAGGGAAATTTAGAGGAAAATAATTTAGACTGAAGGAAGTGACGAAATCAAATAACACTCAATCTCAATCAGAGTAGACGACTATTTGAATTTGATTTAACGTGCCACCTAGAAGACTGCGCCCGGTTTCAATGTTTAATATTCCTCCATCATTTAGCATTTCGAGATCACCTACGGTAAACATGTTTCGACTTGCAAATCAACTCAACACACTGATAGAACTTGAATGGACAGTCTCTATCTGAATCTTACGTAAAACAATTTAGACTCATTTAATCTCTATCTCTATATAATATATAAGAAACTTACAAAGGAGTGTCAGTCCTCATACAATTCACATATTGTAGTACATGTTGTACGGGGTGTACACATTGAAGAATCACAGGGCAAAACGATAGAGCCTCGTTAAACTGTCATGTTTTTAATGACGCATTTTGAGACACCCTGTACACATGGCCGTCATGTTTTTTTATATTCCGATTTTTCATTCATTATTCACGCCGACGTACACGACGTACATGTTTTTTTCCTACACGATGAGACAATCTGTATGACAGCCATATTTTTTTCTATTACGTTGACAACCATGTTGTTTTCTTTAACGCCCGTGGCCATGTTTTTTTTATTCAAAACGATTTCACATTCATTATTATTATTATACTATTATTTTTCACGCTGACGTATTCGAGACACCCCGTACATGTTTTTTCTCAAACGAACCATGTTTTTTTCTTTAACGCCCGTGGCCATGTTTTTTCTTCTTCAATCCGATTTTTCGTTCATCATTACTATTATTATATCATCATTTTCCACGCTGACGTAATTGAGACATCCCGTACATGTTTTTTCTTAAACGATGAGACACCCTGTATTACAGCCATATTTTTTCTATTACGTTGGCAGACATGCTTTTTTCTTTAACGCTAGTGGCCATGTTTTTTCCTTTAATCCGATTTTTCGCTCATTATTAATATTATACCGTTATTTTTGTAATTCCACCGCGTTCTTATCTATCAAATGAATCTACTCGATGCTCATTCCATCCTTCTATGCGTCGATCACGTCGCACACCTCTCCTTCCCCCTCACTACCGTAATTACCTCCCCTAGGGAATACGCCCCAGAACTCTCGTATCCCCTCTACTATAGTTATATGTAGGTAGTTATATGCAAGTTTTGTATGAAAAATCTGTTTTAAAATCTGTTTTTCCGTTAATCAGCTGCCGCCCCCATACGGACGACAACTCTCAGAAGTAGAGAAACTTGTGCGAGCTAAGGACTTATGGTCTGCTCTGCTGAACAGATCATCTCTTCTGGCTATCCGAATATGAGATGATAGGTTTTTACAAATTTCTACACAAATTTCCAGACCTACTATGTCGGCGTAGCGTTGAAAAGTCATATAGACCACTGTCCCATGCATTAGAGCTTCCCAAGGGTAATTTATTTATTAAAAATCAAGACGACAGTACTTTTGTATGTAATTTTACAGTTATTTGGTGGTTTTTCTCAAGATATTTTAGACCTAAAAACATTTCTTTGACGTCTAAGAATGGCGAACTCTCCATTATCAGACTGTTGAAACCGTCTAGATGTAGAACTGAACCATTACTAACTATCCATTGATGTTTTTGATGATACTCAAAACACCATGAGACAAATATTGTGTCTGCAAAGTTCAGTAATGATAGTAGAGTATTCTATTGAATCACTTGGAATATTTTTTGTACACCATAATGCTGGTCACGCAAATACTCACCCTTGGAGTGCTGTTAACCTCCGCTATAACATTCGTTGTTGTGACCAAACTAGCTCGAGAGCTGATACTAGATAGCTCGGATAAACTTTCCGGACTAGCTAAAGGAGCCAACCCCAGCCAATCGTCGTGGATCAAGTCCACCTTGGGACTGGTGCAACTCCGCAAACTCAAGCTGAAGGTTTTCATGATCACCTTGGGCTCGGAAGGACTACGAAGACTCATGTTGGGGGACGGCTTGCCTTTCGTTAAGGAGGTTCTCCGCAGTACTGGACTGAGAGAAAACTTTTAGAGAAAAAAACTTTCTTCACTGTGTAAACTCACCTGTGAATCGCACTATTGTTTTTTATACACACACCATTGTGGGGGGCTTGGTGGAGAAAGAGGGGAGAGGGTTGACTTCTCGTGGAGTAGTAGCCGTTGGTGAGAGACGAGTTACTCGAAGGGCTCTGCAAGGAGGTGAAGCTGGTTTCCAAAAAAAAGTTGGGGATGGATGTAGCGGAGACGTAGTTTCCTGAAGGGGCTTCGCTGGTGGAGGAAGAACGTTGGGGTTTTTTGGGGCCCAGGGTGGTTACAACCTGGAAAATTGCGTGGTTTCTGTTAACATGGATATCGTCGAGTGTTTGTTGTTCCCCAGATGGAAGTAGCAAATTCGCTTTTTTATATAGTTTCACCTATCTGGTCAAAAATTGAAGAGATAAGCTGGCATGAAGCTGAGTTTGACGTGTTTACAGTCCTACCTGATGTTACATTGTGAAATTATCACAAACCATTGGTTATTTCTAGACTATTAGTGACTGTCTGCCCAAATGGTGCGAACAAGATTAAAATATTTCTCAATGTTGACCGATTTGAAAAGAATGCAGATCTTTCAGAAATTATAATGTTATTATTGTACCCCCTGAATACTATTCTAAACGCACTAAAACAATCCATCCTAACTTCAATAATATCATAAGCCCTGGTTTTTCCCATAGTATCACAAAGGAAAAATTAAAAAATCATATCGGCAGAAAAATAACATAAAACGGGGTTGATCCGGAACTAGCTGAGAAGTGGAGTAACTAAGATCTGAACTATAGCATAAACATTTGGTGCAGATGTTAAAGGCTGCTTGGCGCAGAAAGAATTCCTATGTTTTGTGGTAGTATGTTGTGTGGTTAATACTGTGGCCTAGTTGGCCTAGTTGAAATCAACATGTCAGCACCTTTACAACATGTTCGCGAGTGAATCCCCCGGAATCAATTGGACTTTGCTTCAAATTAGAGAACTTTTCTATTGGGCCAATTCTTGTAAGAAAAAGTATGGTGAAATTACTTATGCTCATCAAATAAAAAGCCAATGCAAAGTCAATGCAAAATGGTGAGTTTTAATGTTCATTTGAAGATAAATTCAAAAGTGTGGCAGTTAACATGTTAGTTTTTTTTTTCGTTAACGGTTGTTAACGAAAGGGATATATGATGGTGGTTGTGGATAATTGTTTGAATTGGCCTAAATTTGGGCTCCTATAAAACTGATCGACGCTTCACTGCATATACGAAACCGTTTTTTGAGATGAGCAGGGACTTCTCAGATCCTATTATCAAGAAATGTTGGCAGACGTAGACATTTTGAATTTAAATTCCAAGTACCTACCTTTGCGTCTCTTCTTGACACAGTTATTAGATTGATTTGATTTCTGTAGCAAGAACTATTCAAGAAAACTAAATCCTCATAATTGTTACATAGAAGTTTTTGCTGAAATACAATTTGAAGAAATAGTAGGGGAGCTCACGATGCAAAATGGGGATTCACTCGAGCGTCATAGAAACATATCAGTTTGCAAAGCTTAGATGATGAGAAAAAAAATGTTATATAATATATATCTTTTCATCGGTGGGGATTATATATTTTTCGTTATCCTTGAATTATTTCCTTCAAAATGACGTTATTTTTTTACAATTTGGCTGCCCTCCCCTTTCTTTACGTCACTCTCAAACTGTCAGATTACTGGAATATACACTTTTTAGCATGTAATTAACTCATCCTACCCTAATCTGTCGCGCTCGAGAATTTCTCATGATCAATTTTTTTACTAATCTGATCCTTTATCCTTCACGGGCGGCCTTATATATGCGGGGCTTGTATTTGGTGGAGGTACTTAACCGGGTACAAGGTATCCCTCTGTATATAAATCTGCCGCGCTTTAGTAAATCCCGAAATCCCGCTTGGGCTCCCCTATTAAAACCTATTCAGCTAAAAAAATACCACTGATAGTAATGAGTATAACACGAAAATGTCAAATTTGGAGTGAGAAAAAAGTGAGTTTCGAGCGTCTCATGAGAAATATATACAAAAATTTTTCGAGTAATTGAAAACAGGGTGTGAGTTAAAAACGTTGAAACAAGGTAAAAATCTTCGTGTGATATTTAGCAAAAGATTTTCAGTGTTCTCCGAAAAGACTCAGCCTAATTGTCACTTTGAATTTAACAATGATGGTAGGGGTGAGTGCAAGTTGTAATTGTTACCAGATATAACCAAAAAATGACTGAATACTACGAAAACCATGCATATCTGACTGCAAAATGTGATTGGCATCTTCAGTAACAACGTTAACAACAAGGGTTGTTTTTTTTAATACGTTATCATGAATTTTTATTACGTTTCGGGCAATGAAGCTGGATAATTCATAACTTCAGGTAGTTTTGAAGATTTAGGCAGACTTAAATTGTCACTTGAACAATCTCTGTGTTTAAAAACCTTGATGTAAGTCGACATCTTGGCCTTTATAGACTCATTTTCAAGTTATTGAATCATTTAGGTTTAGAAAAACTAAATTCGTTCAGGTGTTTTTTTATCGCAACCATATCATTCGGATAAGTTAAAGAACAATGGTATGATCAAGTAGTTATCAATGAAATAGAGTTTTTGAATATACAAGGTGAGTCAGTGAAAACAAAACTGTCAATTGAAATATCACTCACCAAATGAAATAATCAGCTTCCTTATGGAGTCGAGTTTGAATCGTGAATGTTTCTATTCACTTTGGATCTATTTCATCCTACCTAATTTGCTCATCCAGACCTTGGCCATTGAAAAACTTTGTTGTAATAGTGCATTTACAGTTTTCATAATAATATTCAATTATCGATTCTCATTTCGCGGTTGAATCAACTAGATACTATGAACAAAATGTTAAATCAATATAATCATGGTTGGAATAAAAAAAAAGTAACATTCTGGTGGTTTCATTTTCATTGACCCTCTATGTTAAATTCCCAATTTCATACCATAACACCTATAAATAATTGTGTTTGGCTTGTAAGCCAGCTGGAGGTGGGAATAGCATCCACAGTTAGGGGTACACCGAAGGGCAGACACCACACCGAGTGTTGGAAAACAGTGGATAGGTTGTGGCGACAAAGCATAGCAATGTCAGAAAAGGGATAATTTTTTAAGGCTACTGTACCTGGTATCGGGCGGGGGCGGTTTGACTTCCACAGGGGTGGTACCCCTGTTCTGCGAACCGTGTGATCTTCTCTCTGCTTTTTGTTGTACCTGTCCACACACCTTGCTGTCAGACACAAAAACGGGCGACACCAAATTAAGTGGACATGCCAAATGCAACATGGAAAACAAAAACGTCACGTTGCCATTTGAGACAAGCTTTCATTGATATATTCATCAGAAAAGTTGTTTTCATGAACATTTTTTGATTGGATGATGGTGATTGCCAACCTCAAATGACAAATAGTTTGAGAAATAGTTGTGGATCTAAACAAATACGAAATTTCATACCCTCAGTTGTTACATATTCACCTGAAACATGTTTTACACCTAAATTTACCTAAAATGAGACTTACAAATATTTCGTTATACAATTGCTTACTCAGGCAAAACTATACTAACTAGGTTGGTTGTTTTCTGGCTGAAAACCCTTATAGGTGTCAATAATGTTATGTTATACCCTCTTCGAATATCAATATCAAAATGATTGGATACATATGCCACTTATTTTCAATAATTCAAAGAATATCTGCCTATACAGATTACTCACAATAATTTGTTTGGACGAATCATATAGCAAAATGGGATTTGAGACTTTCTGTTCAGAATTTCGTGATCTCATTCTATACCAAGTTATGACTATGAGACCCGTCAACAATCTGCATGAATTGATATCAAAATAAGTTTTGAACACGAAGGCAGAGGTTACCGAGTCAGTTGAAATTCATTTTAATTTCTATCTGCAAAGTTTTGGGATTCAACTATCAAAAAAGTAGATGAGGGTGTACATAATTTCATCAAAGGGTTATCTCTATTTGAAAACAGTTAATTGTCATCGGTAATTTAGCCTACGTCAGGGGTTTTGGAAAATACTGAGGTGATTTACGATAAACACTAAAAAATACTTTGGTTTCTGTGATCGATTTATTACAAATCTTATACTGGGTGTTCCTAAACTGAGGCATTAATGGAATAATAACATTTACTTGAGATACGGAGAGCAAACAAACTCTTTAAATTACTCAAAATAGTTTTTGGTGAGAACTACCTCAGATGATCCCAATTCTACTGGGGATTCTTAGGCCTAAGGAACTGAAGAATTTTAAAATATGTGTATTATTTAGATGAAAAGATGACGTTAGGAATATTGAATGAACAAACATTCATAACCATATTTTATGATTCTTGATACAAATTGAAATATGTAGATATACCAAAAACTGTTCAAGTTTGAATCATCTGAGGAAATCCAAAGTGTGTTGAGGTTACTGTGCTTTTTGGGGTAGAATAGTAAAAAACATACCAATACATATTTACAATTTTAATTTCATTAACAAGTAGTGACGATTGAAAGAATTCTTCAGACATTTAATAACGTTGGAGCAAGTGCTTCAAATTCCCATTCAACGGCTCATTTGAAAAACATCTGCTATACGCTAGACAAGCGCAATCATAGAGTTAGGTATTCAACTGCGCTACTGCTGGCTTCTTCTAGAGGAGCAACATCATGTTGGAATGCTACACAGATCTACACTAAACATCGAAAGCGTCTCTAACCATGCAACATTCAGTCTAAGTCATCCTCGATGGTGTAAACATGAGCATCCAGGTGGTGATCGTGCACAGTATGGCATACCTTGTTCAGAGCTTCCAAGACTTTGTCAGGCATATGATCTTGAATCATACTTGGAGAGATGAGAACCTCGTCGAAGTCTAGGTTGCTCGCCCAGAGGGCCTGGTAGACTGGGTCCTTCTTCTTGAGAGCTTGTCTGCAACGTAATGGTGTATGGAGAATATATGGAGATGAGTACTACTATTGAATGCATGGAAAGAGCATACAATCAAGTTTCTTGTGAGTTTATCATGATAAACTTATTCGATTGATATTTAATACAGGGTGATTCTCTAAGGTGGCTCACCCCTGTTACTTTTTTATTATTGGAGATAGAAAAACGAAATTTTATTTGTCAAATATTGACAAGTGAAGTATTGTTGGATTTAGAATGTCATTCTCGATGGAATATATAGGAAGACCCATTTATATATAATACACTATAAAGAATAAACTATAATACACAACCCCTAAATTTCGTTTTTCTATCTCCAATAATAAAAAAATTATAGGGGTG